TTTCTTATACTTTTTTCTTTTTTTTAACAAAAATGATTTTAAAGTTTTAAAAAATCTCTCGATATCATACACACTTTCTAAAAAGCTTTTCATTTAAATTCTGTTGAACGAAAAAAAAAATAGAAAGAAAAAAATTGTTTATATTCATATGTATGATTTTTTCATATACTCGAACATTTTGTAGTTTTAATAAGGTAAGTTGAGCTTTGATAGCTAACAAGAAAAGTAATGAGAACAATATAATGTGATATATTTCAGCAATTTCAATTATTATCTCATTTCAGTTATTTAAAATACACTTGTAGAATCGTTTCAAATAATTTCAATTAGTTTTTAAGTCATAAAAACTAATATGTATGTCCTCACTTCCGAACAACTTTTTTATAAGTAATTATTTTATTTTAATTAGTTATATTTTGTGCTTGCAAAATTTATTTGTGTTCTTCTTTCATATTTTATTGGCAGGTAAACAACAGTATAATCTATTTATAAAATGCATTAATGGCCTAGATTTGTAGATATGTGCAACAAGGTTAACAGTGCACTGCGACCACTTATAAGAATCTATAGTGCGCCAAAATCACTCCATTGACGCAGTTGGACAAGTCCTCATAGTCCCTGTGATACAAACGCATGCAAGTGTCTACAATCGTGCCAGGTTCTTCCTAGCAGTATCAAGAGCCATCCTTCTAGTCCATGCTACTGCTCCATAAGGAGCGCACGACCACCGTGATCAACATGACAGATTGGTAGCAACCTCACCAGCTGACCGAGCTGGCCCTGCAAAACATAAGCACCCGGGGTCTGGACACATGCAGTTTCCACGTGACTCCGCTTAAGTTTGGAAGCAAATACCACTCGCAGGTATTTGCCCTCCGATTTTCTCTCAAACATGCAGTTGCTCCAATTTTCCTCGTAATCCCCTTTGGAATATATCACAAAGGGTCCCCTTAAACTTGCCCCTAGCGATGATAATAATGTCATCGGCATACGCCTGGAGACAAGTTCCTCGACGGAGCAGTTCATCAAAGAGTCCATCCGCCACCAGACTCCACATCAGCAAAGGCAGAACTCCACCCTGTAGACACTCATAGCCACGCGCATCCTTATGGTGCCCCGCAGCAGTCTATACAACTCTCGTAGCCAACATGTTGGACATTTATAGTGTTAGATAGTTTAGTTGAAAAAGCCTCTTCTTGCTTAGCTTGAAGTTAAATTTATTTATTAAAAAAATTTATACAAAAATTATACTACTTAAAATTAATTATTTCCCACAGAAATAGACTAGTAAGCAATTTTATGCATTTATAAAATTCATAATTTTCCCATGTTAATTTACGTATCATCAATAAAAAAAATATATATAATTTGACTCCTACTAAAATACTATGAGAAAGCTATGTATGGGAAAATATTTACATTAACTAACTACAATGTATGCAAATACATGTGCGTTTATATTAACTTTTGACAAATTTAGAATTCAGAACAATTGTTATTACACAACACATAGAGAGCTGGTGGCAGCCACGTCCCTGTCCTCCAGGTATCTCGCAGTCGCCTTGAGAGATCGTGTAGCAGAAGTTATCTTCTTTTGTTCTATTATCATTTCCAAGGTTTTAGCGAGTTGAAATAGAGCGGTCTCTGTGTAGCTTCCTGTCCGACACACATGCTGTTAGCTGTTTTCTTCCCCAGTTCAAACATAATTGTGTATTATTTTTTCCATCGTTTTCAATAAGAACAATGTAGAGCTAGTCGGTTTGAATGACTTGGGAACCACGTCTCATCTTCTCACTTTTGGGATAAAGACCACCCTAGCCACCCACCAAGACTCGGGAATGTACCCGAGAGTCAAGCTGTTCTTTATTATTCTTAATAAGATACACATGATTGGCTCCAGCCCCCGCAGAAATAGTGCTGCCAGGAAAATGCGATTCCAGGAGGAAGAGAACCCTTAGCTCCTCATTTTCCGTGTGGTCGCAATCCGGCTTCCACAAAGAAGCAATCATTAGCGCCCTGCCTTCAGCCATAGCTCTATGCAATCTCACAGCCACCGGCGTCTAAGCTATGCTATCATAGAATGATCTAAAGCATCTGTGCTTAGGCCTGCGGATCTCTTTGCTGTAGGCCACTGTGTTCACTTTGTACTCTTCCCAAGAACCATTTCGCTTAGCTCTCGGTCCACCAAGGTTTATCCTTGGAATATCTTGAAATACCAACGGGGTAGTTAGTTCAAAAACCTCGAAAATAACCCCCAAGCTCCTCCACAGCCTCTCTAACAACAGGGGACGCACAGTTCTACACAAGGCCCTCGACAGCTCAAGGTCCCTTCTGGATCACTCCAGGCTGCCCGCCTAGGATTTCTCCTCTATCAACTCACCCAAACCAAACCTAACCTAACTTATGGTCCGACATAGAAACCTTCTCTTGTACTCTCCAGCCGCGTAACCCCACATTCGTGCTACCGAACGTGATATCTAATACCTTTCCTCTAACCCTTCTTGCAAAAGTGGGGGCATTCCCTACAGGAATCCTCTAGGTTTCCTTTAACTAAAAATTCTAATGAAGACTCACCTCCAGCATTGGTGTTGCCTCTTCCTCTTGCTTCGTGATTCGCATTTGCATCACATGCAATGATGAGTGGCCACCTTTCCTATGGCACTGCTCTACTACTTTTTCTACTTCCTGTGGTGGAGGGGACGCTTTATCTTCTGGAAAGGACAGTGATACGAACACTATCTCTATCGCCTTGCCCCAACATTAATGCGGGCCCTGACTGATGTAGGGTTATTATTTACCCTGAAAGTGAAACCTCATTATAGTGAGATTATGTCGTTTACCCTGAAAGTAAAAGAAAGTTAATATTTTTCTTATTAGAATGCAGACACTAGATTGCGCCTTCCCATAATGCCATACTACCTGCGCAGGTAAATGGTCAGTCCTTTTATCTGCTCTCATTTTATCATGACTATGCCTCCTACTTGGAAAGAACATCTTCCTTGGCAAACAGCCTTGCCAGAAAAGTCTTCGTCCCTCATTTCTTCAACTGATTGGCAGGGTGGTCTTTCCCTGCCATCGGGATATTTTCTTCTGGAGGCAGCTCACTTTGACTTAGCGGGGATAGTTTTAGGTCCTCTACTATCTCCTCCGTCGTTAATCGATTCCCTCGGCTCCTTTTGTTTTACCTTCCTTGTACAGGGATTTTCCTGAACGCCTTTCGTTAATATGTAAAGTGAAAGAGTTATTGATCCCTATTCGAAGAGAATTTGCGTTTCCCTCCTACCTCTGCCCCATCAACTTCCAGACCCGGGCGTGAATTCCCCTGTTCTGGGTCTGGAACATCGTCTGCGTTTTCTCCCATTCTTGATCCTAGCTTCTGTGAACGAAAATGGGGCTTACACATGGCTTGGCGATGACATCTCCCTTTCTTGTTATCAGTCGGAGCACCCTCCATGTGCCAAAACTGGTGCCCACTCAATAAGCTACCTCCAGACGGGTGAGTTCCTGCTGGGTCTAGATTATTGAGGGGTATTACTTTGACAAAACTGCCACCTTTACAAATTTTGTAGCCCTGGCATGGGCTATATCCCCCGGGGCATTACCGTATTCTTTCTGTCAGCCGACTTCCTTTTTTTGGTCTTCTTGCGGTGTCAGAGACTCTTGTTCGCATTTACCTCCGTGAGTCGGTGGATGCCTCCAACAGGCCTCTTCCTTTTTTCAGCTAGTTTTCTAACCTCGTCAGGTGATTTTCCCTGCTTTGGCAAACACCACTGTGGCAGATGCTAGCTACGTTTATAAAATATAAAATATATTAATATATTTTATTTTTAATTAATTATTCTATGTGCAAAAAGTAACTCTACAGCGAAAAAATAGCTCTTTAACTTTTGCATTTATATCTATTGGTTCAGATATCAATATAAACCCCTCTAAAGGATTTTTTTAACTTTGTCATTTCACTTCTAGTTAAAATACATCTTAATGCTTTTTTTAAGTTATTGTTTTCTATGTACAGTTCCTGTTTTCCTCCACCAACTGTTTCTAGGCTCTTTTTAAATATTAGAGTGTTTCTTTTTAAATTGAATATTTGCCGTTGTAGTGCACCTTCCAAATTTGCTCTAAAATTTTGAAGTATTTTGATATTATTACTTTTTCAGAAGTTTTCACAATTTTAAAAAACTTTTTTAATTTTTGTATAAATTCTAATTTTATTATTCTATTGAAAGGGGAAAAAATGAGGGGAGTTGGATATTATGGACTTATTTTCTTTCACATAAAAGGTCATGATTGTTTTCTTTCACATAAAAGGTCATTTTGAAAGAGGTCGTTACTCTTGGAATGTGCACATTAGTGCCGTGAGAGGCATTTTTCCAATGTACAATTGTACATTTTTGTGCATTTTGCTTGTGCCGCACCCGAACAAACTCTATGCGACTCAAATTTTACTGGGTTGACAATCTAAGGTTGATTGGTTTATTTTTTCACGTTATGTAATTAATTTTTCCACCAGGTGGTGTTGATAAAATGTCATTTTCCTTCTTATGAAAAATATGAGTACTAAAATTGATTTTGATAGCTCGTTTTTCTTTGTTTTATTTTTTGCGCTTGTTCTGTTAGTTTAAAGTCTGAAGAAGAAAAGTTTTGCTGTTTAACGAAATAATTTAATTAGTCGATTAAGAATTTTATATCAGAAAACACTTTTTCACTGGAAGGCTTGGAATCATGGGGTATTTAACATTTGAAATTAGTTTTAATTTTTAATTTAAACGATAAAACCAGCTCCACCCAAAATGGTATACTTGATTCTTCACCTAACAAAATCAATAGAACATTTTAGTGAAAACTGTAAAAGTATCAGGAAAAAAGCTTGAGCTTAAATCAAAATTATTTAACTTTCAGTTGGTTGGTTAAAATTAATAAAACAAATTTCATATCTTACGCAAATTATTTAATTTTATTTATAGGATTAATAATTAATAATGAAGGTTAAAATGTTTTTGTAAATTTAGTGGCGGATAAATAAAGATAAATTTTGTGCCACAAAACTGTATGAAAATTTCGCTAATTAAATTTTAAATTTCTAAACTTGAACTAAATTACTATTGAAAACAATAGAAAACAAATTCGTTAATATACTTACATATCTGTTATACAATTCTTGTGAATAATTTTGTTCATTAATATAATTTTTTCTTTGCAGCAGATTAGGGTAAGTGATTTACATATATACGTATGTATATGCCAAATTTGTATTTTTTTAGTGGCTTCGCAATGTCGAGAAACAAAATATGTTTATAATCGAAAAAGATTGATTAAATTTAGTTAAAAAATGCATACAATAAATAAACACAGCAGATATTTTTTTACTTTTTGCCGAAATTTAAATTAAACAGTATTGAACAGATTTATAATAGGTAATAGATTTACATATTTTTACGTTATAATAGTTGTCGATGGATTATGTATCTTTTACCTAAGAATAATTAGAGATACTTCAAGTTTAGAAAACTTAATTGTAAAACAATGTGCATTTGTAGAGTTTTAAATTTTGTAGTGTTTTAAAATTTACAGGTTTTTTTTGTTTAAAGAAATCAGTTAATGAATGGGTGTGTTGGAAATCTTAGCATACACAATGGGAATGTCAATGGCAAAATTGTTCAATTATTTTGATTATTTAGCTCTATTAGCCTTCAAGGTTAGGAATTTTAGATTAGTTCAATATAAAACAAATGTTTTACAAGAATATTTCAAATATTGATTGACTTTAAATTATGGGAAATTTAATAAGATAAATAAAATATGTAGGTACCTACCTACCTACAAATTTTATAATAGTATTTATGTTTTTTATCGTTTTTAATTTTAAACCCTCGCTTGGAAGTGTGCACATAATTTAAGAATGGAGTTTTTTCATATTCGATTTTTTAATTAATGAATTCTCATTATTTTTAAGGGAGCAACCAATTTTTACGTGTCAAGCTCATGTTTTCCATATCGACCCTAAAACAAAAAGAACGTGGATAACAGCAAGTATGAAAGCGGTTGCTGTTAGTTTTTTTTACGACTCTTCAAGGCACTTATATAGAATTATCAGCGTAGAAGGAAGTAAGGCAGTTATAAATTCAACGATAACACCCAACATGACATTTACACAAACCTCTCAAAAATTTGGACAATGGAGTGACGTAAGAGCTAATACTGTATATGGCCTAGGCTTTGCCTCGGAGGCTGAATTAACAAAAGTACTTTATTTTAATATATAACATAGTAACTTTTAGAAATTGCTTTTTTTTAGTTTGTCGAAAAATTTCAAGAAGTAAAAGAAGCAACCAAAAATGCATCATCTAAAACTGTAACTAACGGTGAGTTTTTTTTATATAAACTGAAGAGTTTATTGTAAATCAAGACTATGTTCGTACCAAAAATACAATCCATACACTTAATAACCAATATTTGGTCCATCAAAAACGGACTTAAAGACATTGTTTTAAAATTCGAAAACATTTCTCAGAAACATTGCGTATTTTGTATTTTGCTTTGTACTTTCTCTTTGTGCACAGTTGTCTCGCACGCTTTTTTTTTGCCGACCGCATTGCACAAAAGGGACGTTACGTGATGGCAAAAAATTCTGCATACCGATTTTTCGGTGGGAACACACTTCTCCATAGCAGGGAAGACTAAAGATGTCGGTCTGTCTGTTTGTCTGTCTATGTGCACGCGTGTATCTCAAATTCGGCTGAATCGATTTTCATGAAATTTTATATGCAAGTTAATTTCGACTATTTCACAGATTGATTAACTTTTGTGATATATCAGGCCTTGGGAACTGCACTATTTAGCGGGCCTGTTTTACATTTTTGATCATTTTGTAGAAAACATTCAACAGATTTACTTGAAATTTCATATATAAGCTTCATTTGACCATACGCGAAATCTCCTAATTTTTGGAAGAAATCAGATTTCAACAACTGGACGTTTACTACGGAGCAAATATACATTTTAGCGTATATAAAGAGAAATAATCAACCGATTTCATTGAAATTTAATATTTAAATTCCAGATAGTAAAACAATGAATCTATTATTTTTTTTGGAAAGATTAGGCCTCGGAAACTGATCTGAGAACGATTATACCTTTTATATCATATCTACGGAAAGAATTAATAGAATTTATTGAAATTTAATATTCGAGTCCTGGTTGTTATCAGAAGTTTTTGCCGAACTTTTCGTATAACTCGGAAGGCACAAAATGAAACTCTGCTAAGAGCCAAATTCATATTTTTCTAGGTAAAAGCTTATTAGCGGCCTTAAAATTGTAAAGAAGTGTTTAAAAGGCGTTTTCATAATTTTCTTGAATACTTTTACTAATCTAGATAATCCAACATTGCGGTCGGTTATGTACTGACCACATCAGGTTTTTTAATTTTATTTTAAGTGACGAAAATATACTGTAGAACCTTGAAATTAGGGGGTTTTAGACATTAATCAATAGTTCATTTCGTTAGAAGAAAATTTTTTTTCCATCTCCACCCCCTCTCAAATTATCGCCTCTTGAAATTTGTAAAATTTGAATTTCTGACACCTTATAAACGCAAAAAGCTAATGGTAAATTCCATGACATTAAAAAATATAATTATTTTTCTTAGCTCACGCAATTAAACCTTAAAATCGAGCACTATGTTAACCCCACTTTATATTAATTTTTGCTTTATTTCAAAGACTGCATAAATCGTTCATCCTAAATATATGCAATCCTATACATAGACAGGTATACATAGACGGTAATTAAATGCAGAATTTTCACTTGTTGAAGGGAAAAGTGCTACAATACAAACCATTGGTTTGACCCAACTTTATTTTTTGTTCTTGTTGTTTACTAATGCAATAGTATACGGAAAAAGTAATACATTATAATAATTTGTTTGATGAGTGGGCGACAACTAAGCATAAATAAAACTTTGCATATATGAAACAAATTAAATATAATGTGTTCGAACGAGTGTAGTCAGGGCGATCACTCAGCATAAAAAAAATTTTGTTTTGTGATATAATTATATGTGTACGAGCGAGTGTTGATAGGGAGCAATCTCAGCAAAATAAAAATCTTGCTTTGAGATAATTATATGTGTACGCATGAGTGTTGATTTTATTAATACTACACAATGAAAATTATGTGTACATGTGTATTTTTGAAAGTTTTTTGCGTATATGCTTCTATGTAGGATTGAATGTATACAGCCTGCTGTCTGAAATAATATTCTGAGTGTAAAGGCATATAGGAATTTATTCTAGTATGTATATAAAAGGAAAAAAGTAACAATTGCAATTCTAATGATTCATATGAATCAAAAATATATTTAGTATATTCGTATAATAAATAGAAATGAAAGAGTAGTGTAGAGTAAGAAAATATATGAATAATTTTCATTCTACGAGCATTTCATTGTATGGTGCGAAAGGAAAATATATGAAGATCGATACTTAGTGTTTTGCGTAACTGACCGGTTTTTTTCAAGCACATTTTTTTAAATAATTAGGAATAAAATATTATGTTTGTATGTAGATACATTTTATCAAGTTAATTTCGCTGTAAATTTTTTTTTAAATTTATGGTTTTTTTACGTCCTTCCCTGATGGCAGGTACCCGAACCGGTACCGCTATCATATCCAATATAAATAGTGTTCTGGCACTTGCTACAATAAGTCATTTTTGAAAATTTGCTGATGTTAGCTCAATTAGTTTTTGAATTATCGCTGGGACGGACGGACCGACGGTCAGACAAAGCTAAATCAGCTCAGAATTCGACGCTGGTCTAAAACATACACTTGAGTCTATATCTAAGACCGTTATTTCTTAGCGTTACAAACGATAAGGCAAATTTAGTATATCCTTCGAACATACGTTCGTACGGGTATAAAAATAGCTTTGTTCTACTTGGAATATCTTCGATTATATGGTTTTTGGTTGAACGTTGTGCTCGAAGCTATAGATTCTTATATATTATACATTTTTAGTCTTCTTCCATCATTTAGATGATATCCGAATAGACTGTAAATTAGTTTTTGTAAGATAATGTAATTTTTGTTTTTTTTTTGTATGACCGCAAACATAGTAAAATTATGATAATGAAAACGAAAAAATGTTCTTTCAACGTAATATTAATTCTCTTTTGAAATTAGCAATTTAAATCAGCTATGTATATACATAATTTTATTCATGCCAAAAAAAATATACTTGTTAAAAAAAATTAGATCTAAATTCATTCTTATCATTTCATTTGTATTGTTTTTTTAATTAAGTGAAATATTTTGGTGCTAAATTTTAATGCTCAAATAAAAATCTCACCAGTATTAACAATGTTTTATTGCATATCAGAAAAGATTTGGTTTATATTTTAATAATCGCATATAATTTTACTAAAGCGTCGTTGCTACACCATCATGATTAAGGTAAGACTGAGACGTGATTATTACGGGATGGTAAATGAAAAAACCGTCAAGGCTTATTTTTACTTTAAAAATATGCTTAATGAATAAATCGGTTTCAGCAATCGTCTGTTGAAACCGATCCCAAAAGTCGTTGAAAACATGTCACTTAGTTTACTTTGAATTGCTTTGGCTTTATGTATTTTGTTGTGCACTTTGTTTCTCTTCAACAAAAAAAAAATTATGAAATGATGGTGGTGTTTACCCATACATAAAAAATTATTAAAAAAATCTTTATTAGAAATTTATATATAATATAAAATATATAATATGTATATGTATAATATAATAATTAAATTTTTGTAATTTATTACCAGATCATTGCTTTAAATAATATAACATAATATTAAAATAAAAGCCGTATTCTGTATTGTAAATAAACGCAAATTTTGACGATGCATCACGTTTCGTATTGTATCTAAAAAATTTTATAGTTCAATATAGTTCGGAACATGTTCCGCATTGCACAAAATGAAGAATCGGAACGCAAAAAGAAAAAACAAATCGTGCAACGAAAAAATTTGTGCAAAATTAAAGTTATATTTTAGTTAATACGCATAGTGAATATTTCCATATTTCTTTTTTATTAACGCTCAATTCTATTTTTCTAGCGCCTACTTGAATGTTATTTATTTTGTATCTAATGACGTATTTAATGATGTAATTACTTATATTGTATTTAATGAAATATATGTGTAGGTATGTTTTTAAAAAATACATATTTTTCATGCAAAAAACTAAAATAATTTCTGATAATAATATTTTTTTTTTGTGGAAAAAACAAAGTAACAAAAACTGCAATTGCAATTGTAATAAAAGTGCAATTGTCTTTTGAATATCTCATTCATAGTGACAAACACAAATACTGTTATTCAAAACATATTTCATGTACCTATAAGAATATTTGATTATAATTTGAAAAAAGGTAAAGTATATATTACACTTGGACTTTTCTAGTTGTCAGAAAAATTAGTAAAAAAGCGAGAAGCCGTTAGTTGTTTTTACTAAAACTAATAATTAATTCCATTAGAATTTTCGGCAAGTTTGGAGTGCTGTAAGTTGCAACTTTTTTTGTACTTCCTTTTTCAGAGTAACATATTTCAGAACACTCTTCAAATATATGCATAAAGCTGTGGCAATCTCTAGACAAATTTCAATTAGTATTTAAGCCCGAAAATAAATTTGCAGCTACCACCGCGTATAAAATGTAAATAAACATAAATGTCACTATTAGCATGTTTGATTTATAAAATTTCTTTATAATACTAAATTAAAAAAAAAAACTTTAAGGGGAAGGAAACAAGCGGTTAAGCCCTCTTTTTCGCTTCAGATAAAACATAAACCTTCCAACTCTGTAACCCTCCAACGTGAAGATAAAATCTTACTAAAGAAGTGCATGACCATAGCGCCAGAGTACCTGTTGAAAATATCTGATCAACTAGCGAAGAGATGGCGGCCGGCATCAAAGCATTTCATTGCCAGTCATCCTCTAGTGTTTCGCGATCTAAGTCATTTTAAGAAGTTCTTAAATTCATGTAAACCTATGTAGGTCATAAGATATCCTTTATATCTTAAGATATATAAACCATGTTGTTAATTACTTTGTAGATTTAATATGTATATGCACACTTATAAGCTTATTTTTAAGTTGGCTTATATGTAAAAGTCTAATTTTAGAAGAAAATCTATTAACCGTCTGTAAAACAAAAAATATATATTGGTTATTAAGACAATATTAATAATTTTATTTGTTAGTTTTTTAAGAAAATATTGAAGATTTTATTTTTTAATTTATCAAAACAATTTTTATTTAAAGAAAATCAAGCTATGACTCCAGTCACTTCTGCCAACACTTCTCCTATTACGTCCCGAACGTCAGCGACAATTCAAAGTGATAACATGAATGGATCACACAATTTGGAACACTCAAATTCTACAACAATTAATAATCAAAATTTAAATTCAGACAATAGTCCACAACATAAATTAAATCCTTGTAGTGCTTCGAATCTCGAAGGAAAACAAACACTTCAAAGCAATGAAGTGGTAGCAAATTCAGGAAGTGCAATTGCAATTACTGGAACAACACAAACTTTGCAATGTATGACCACTGCAGGAACGAGTTCAAATAGCGTAGTGAGTGCTGACCAACAATTAAAATACGAGAATGAAAGGCTTAAAATGGCCCTGGCGCAGAGGTAAGGTATCTTCTAGTTTCTCACTAGAGTAAATTAATTGAATAAAGGAAATCTTTACTAAAAATGTTGCTATAAAATAAGAAATCACTTATTTTATAGAAGTTCTGAGATAATTCCGTTTACATATACCTAAAAACAGTCACATATACATACATGTACAATCGGGTGCGTCCTCCTTCAATTAAATTGTAAAATGTTCTAAAAAATAAATAAACTTTTTCAAAGCTTATTTGAATAAAAAGTAAAAATTTATTTGCTTATAGAGGGTGATTCGGAGAGGTATACAACTACATACACAATTGGTTAGAGGGTCGAAAATGGGTATAATTTTTGTTCCGGACTAGGTGGGAAAAATCAAGGGTTCATTTTAAGCCACCAACTTTTTCGGAGCGGAGGTTATAATCAAAAAAGCTTGGATAAGTAGAAATTTTGTGAAATTTTCTTAAATTTCTTTTCCTGAATACTTAAATGATTGTACTCTGCGAAATTTTATATTATTAATAAAAAACTCAATAATTGCAAATTTATTCGTAATTTTAAATTTACAAATAAAATTTCGCATTTTATTTCACAAATTATCAGAAATGAAGCTGTATAAAGCTTCGTATTGAACATCTATTTAAAAGTTTACGAAAAATTAAAGTTTCGGTCTAAAATTTGTGACTTAAAAACTAAGTTTCTTATGTGTGAAGCTAGTTGCATTGTCGGCTTTTCTACGTTGTGGCACTCATAATGAATAAAGTTGCTTTTCACGAAAATTGAAGAACTACCTCTGGCTCTATTATCATGATGAACAGCGTTATAACATTTATATCCACTAATTTCTAGTTTCGTTTCTTTTTTGTAATGGGTTTCAGTAACTAGGCAAGCATCAATACTTTTACTTTTTACTAAACGGTCTAACCTGTCATTAAGTTGTTTTTCGGCAATTTTCTGCTTTTTAAGCCTTTTCAGGATAATTTCCAGGATTTTATCTGTTGGAAATTTGGCTGCAACCTGAGCATACGATTTTCTGGAATTCATTTTGCCAACAGTTTTCTTCTCTGTCTGTTTAGCAGTCGGTGGCAGAGGCGACTTTTTATCTTCCAGGTGTACTTGATCTCGTCGTATATCTTTTAGAGCAACTGCAGTTTCTTGTCGTGAGGTCAATGCCAAATTTCTTTTGCGCTGAAGCTCTTTAGAAACTTCACATCCTCTATAGTTGGCAGGATGAGACCGCAGTGTGAGCATTTTTGTGGTGAGTTTCGACTTTTATTGCAGGCAGAAGTTAAATGGTTAGCACCACATTTTACGCGTTTAGATTCTTTTTTGCAGTACGATTTTGTGTGGTTGTACTCCTAACATTTAGTACATTGCGGTATAATTTTAACCTTTTTTCTAAAATGTTCAATTTTAAAATGTTGTAAATTTTCTGCGCTTTGATTTTTGTCAAAAGTTAGCATAAATAAAGATAACTTTTTGTTGTGGACTATGGTTTCTCCTTTTTCATTTTCTCTTCGTTCTTTCCTCATGATGTTCGTGGCGTCTTTGATATCGAAGCCTTGATTCGACAGAACACTAATTATATCGCTTCTCTCGCATGACTAATGCAGTAATCTGACCATAACTTTAATTGGCCTCGCATACTTATCTTCATAAGAGAACCATTTGGTCTTATCTTCCTCCAGCCTTTTGGCCACGGCTCTCGAAGGGCTCTCGATTTTAACCTTGAATACATTGTTTCCCGGCGCAGCTATTTTATAGCTTTGATAGCACCTTTAAGCAATTTGCACAAGTTGGGGTAATCCTCTATACAAACTAAATTGATGGCTGGTAGTCTATGGATGATCTCCTCGCCTGTGCTACTTAGCTTGATTGTTATTGTTGTTCGCGTTCGCAATGTTTATTACCAGGCCAGGTACGGCTTGCGTGACGTTTTTAGGTACTGGCTGAGTTGTATTTTGAGGAATCTCGGGAGACGACTTTTTCTTCCTCTTTTTGCATGGCTTTTTCTCTTTGGTAAAAGTGACGCGTTCTATTCCAGTGTCATATCCCGTGAGATCCGAACTATCACTGAAGCTCGCTTCTAATCTTAGGCCAAACGAAGGTTTTCCTCCTTTTTCTTCTTTGCAGCCTTAGTGCTTAATGTATGACTAATGTTGGTTCTATGAACATTTTTTGTCATATGGCGCGAAATGTTTAATGTTTCGCGTACCTGATCTTTTTTTTTCATGTACAATTTTTATATTATTTGAAATGAAATATTATGTTTGTATATTTGTATGTAGGTACATTTTATCAAATTAATTTTACTGTAAATTGACACATAAAAATTTTTTTAAAAAACACTATATTTGGCAAAATTAAAAATTTTTTTTTAAATTTAGGGTTTTTTTTTAAGTTTTCAATGACGTTTTTCTTGCCCATTGCAAATGCACACTTTGCATATAGGAGCAATTCCTGTGTATAATATTAATGAAGCTCAAAAATATTGGATGGTTTATTTTCTCTTTCTAGTTTTTATATACATATGTACATGAACGAAAACTTTAACAAAAAAATTTTTTAGAACATAATACATAATAGATTTTCATAAATTAATGTATTAGAAAATGGACAAATGGAAACCTTTTATTAAATTCAAAAGAGTGACCATTACGTTTTAGTTTTGCTTTGAAAATTTTTTTTCCAAAGTATCTTTTTATCACATCAAAATAGGTACATATTTTCTTTTATTATTTTTATAATTTTATCTACGTTTAAAAAAATGAATTTTTGGCGAAAGGAAGTCGAACTAGTGAACGAAATTTTCGGTGCTTTGAACGTGATTTGAATTTGGAGGAATTTGAACTAGTCAATGAAATAATATTTCTAACGTGTTAGTAATGTGTTAATACAAACTGTAATACAAATGTGAAAACCAGCTGGGACAGCTATGATTGTAAATAACATCAAAATTTACCAAAGAAATAATCCGTGGCCAAGTGAAATATTTCATTTTTCTTTAAAATGGACTTAGGCTACTTCAAAACGAACTACATATTTCAATTTCCAAACTTATAATATATGCATAGATATACGAGTATCTATATAAATGTATATTTCTAGGATTTTCTATCAAAACATGATACCTACACTTTTGACAAAAAAAGTTATGAATGCAGTTGCTTGAAATTTTAAGCGCTTTCTAATGCAAGGAAAAAAATTTAGTTTTTATAATATGTCTAAAAAAAATCCTTGAAGAACATTATAACTAACCAATTGCTGCAAAAATTTTTCGGCTAAATTAGATATCAACTGTTTTTCACTTTTGGAGATCATAAAATTTTCTACGGAGGCATTGAAATATAGATGTTAACATATGTTATAAACTTTTAAAATGAAAATGTATTCTAGTTTTTTTTACCTTTTCGTTTCAAGTTGAAAATAAAACATTTGCACATATTCATTTCTACATTTCATATGTAAATGTTCATGTTGGTTATCTTCATATATATAAGTGAAACGCACGTTTAAAAACTGGATATGTGAACTTATTCAGTTCTGATTGATACAAATTGCAATTGGAAAAATGTATAGCTTATCTGATATAGAAAAATATGTTAAAATTTTAAAACTGCTTCAGAAGCGACATTTTAAAATGATAACTTTTGATAAATTTCAAGGGTGTTTTACTCGAAATATCAAAAATGTAGATATCTTGTTGTGACCGAAAACTCTAGATATATACACATTCACTAGATAATTTTGGCTGAAGACTATAAATAATTTTCTGAGCTTTTCACTTCAAATAATTTATAAACAAAAAATTAATAAGCAACAAATTTATGTTAATCCTTTGTTAAATAATTGACGATATAAAGTTTTTATTTCTCTTTGTAAAAGTCAACTTTGTTAAAAATGCGTCTCTTGTCACGATATAAAAATGTATTGTCAAGTTGATGAAGAAGAAATTGGAAAACTCGACCGGCCGCGAAAATTACTATGTTTTGGAAGAAATCAGGCATCAGCAACTGGACGTTTACTACGGGCCAGATATACATTTTTGTGTATATAAAGAGAAATATAAAATTCATTTATAAGGACAAAAAATTGTTTGTCTCTCCACTGTTATTACCGACCGTATTGTGTATACAATAGGTAGGTTATGTGATGGCAACAAATTTTGCATATCGAGTTTTCGGTGGGAATGCACTTCTCCATAGTAGGGAAGTGTAAATAAACTATTTTTAGGAACCTGTCGGTCTGTCGGTCTGTGTGTGCACGCGTGTATCTCAAGTTCGGCTGAACCGATTTTGATGAAATTTTATACATACACATGTAAGTTTATCCATGACCATGGCACGGATTGATCAACTTTTGGAATATATCAGGCCTCGGGAACTGCACTTTTTAGTCATGGGCCTGTTTTACATTTTTGACCATTTCGAAGAAAATATTCAACCGATTTCATATATAAGCTTTGCTCGACCGGCCGCCAAAATTACTATGTTTTGGAAGAAATCAGGCATCAGCAACTGGACGTTTACTACGGGCCAGATATACATTTTTGTGTATATAAAGAGAAATAATCAACCGATTTCATTGAAATTTAATATTTGAATTCCTCGAATTAAAACAATGAACATATAAATTTTTTGGAAAGATCAGGGCTCGAAAACTGATTTGCGGGCCGATTTTACATTTTTCACCATGTCTACGGAACGAATTTATGGAATTTCTTGAAATTTGATATTTGAGTTCTGGTTTTTACCCGAAATAACTGACGAGCATTTCAGGGAATTCGGGTAGCACAAAGCGAAACTCTACTAAGAGCCAAATTTACATTTTTCTAGGTATGTTAACAATAAGCTTACTAATGTCCTAAAATTTGGAAAGGAGTATTTAACAGAAATTTTTATAATATTCCGTAACACTTTCACTTAACTAGACAATACACAATACGGTCGGTTATGTGCTGACCACATCAGATTTTTTTTATAAGGTATTATTTTGCAATTTTATTATTTTGTGTGTCTGCCATTTGAACTTATAAGTGGAAGTCTTACAGTTTTCTTTCTTAAACTAATTAAAGAGAATAATGAACATTGAAAATGAAATTTTCTAAACTTCATAGCGTAAATATGTATTTATATTAATTTATATTCTTATTTATACACATATTTACATTTTCACTTATTTATAGTCCGTTTATCCAAAGCGCGCCAAATTAAAATATATCTGTTTATATTCTCATTGCTTCCGAAATTTTGAGTCAAAAATTAAACACATGTCGAAATAACGTTTGCTCATCAATGCTATATTGCTAAATACAATGTATATATATTTCTACGTGTTTATTTTTACAATGCTCTCAAAAAATAACCCACGAGGAGCAATTTAAACTGTCTATATGACATAGTTTTAATGTTTTTCAAACATTATTGAAATTACAAAAATATTTAATTTTTTAGTTGCGCTAATGCGAAAAAATGGGAAGTTGAACTGGCAACTCTTAAAAGTAATAACATTCGCTTAACCAGTGCGTTACAAGTATATAACTAAAATTTGTTTTTAAATCATAATGAATATTAACGAAAAGTAATTTAAGGAATCAACTGCAAACGTCGATGAGTGGAAAAAACAATTACATACATACAAAGAAGAAAATATGCGATTGAAACGGGAAATAGATAATTTTATGCAAAGCGGAATAACTCCTTCGACAACATGTACCTCTAACACTGAAGTAGCAGAAGATCTTCGACGGGAAGTTGGTTTGTTAAAGGGCAGAATAGAAAGTCTTGAAAAAGAGCTAAAAACTCAAGAGCTAGAACTCAAAGCTGCTAATAAAAGTTTAAAAGACAAATGCAATGATCAAAGTGTAAGCGTTTCTATAATAGTCATAGAAAATTTTAATTATGCGTATAAATATGCAATTTTTCAGATTGCAAAAATGTCTGAACTAGCAGCCATATTTGGAAAAAATTTAACTGAATTATTTACATTACAAAAAGAGATGGAGAATGTTTTGCATTCCCAGAAAAGTACTTGAGATATATTTGAATTTATTAAGGTATTAGAATCATGTTATAAATATATTTGAAATTTTTTCACTTTATTTTGGTTTTTAGGATGACTCTAAGGACAAATCTGAAGATATTTTGTATAATGTCAACTTAGCTCCAGCCGTTAGTAAATCATCAATTAAAGTTAACGTTACAAAAGAAATTTGTATCGATAATATTCAAGAAAAAAACCCAATGAATGATGAGAATCTTAACCACAACACTAATGAGCTTCAATCACGATTAGTAATCTTCAATCAAATAAAAACTGTAGAAAAACTAAATACTTCGCAAAATGAAAAGCAACTGCATAATAATAAAACAGCTACAATATTAGTTTCAAAAACGAAAACCAAGTCTGGACTTCCACTGCTTCTGAAAAATTCAATACATTAGTTTAATTCAGCCGTATTAAAATATAAAATATAAGCTCATATAAAATTACGCAATGTAATCTATTATATGTTTATACATATAGATTTTTAACTTTATTTAAAATCGATAAATCTAGATATTACCTCGTTAATACTAGTAGTAACTATAACATTTATTACTTGAAAATTATTTTTAATTTAAACTTTAGTTTCTTAAATAATATTGAAATGATTTTATTGTGCGAATGATGTAAGCATTTTTTCAGCTTTGAAAATAAATACTCAGTATGAAAACTTAATATTGATAAAAAATATTATATACCAATATATGTTTATTAAAACATCGAGTGAAATAATACTGATATAGGAAAATACATAACCACATAACTTTAAACTATCATTCACCATGTCGTTACGTTCATCGTTTATGTATAAGGTTTTGATAGATCAATAACCATGGAATTTATAAAATATAACCAATAAAACCTCTTATTGATTATATATCGTAAAGAACATCAATAAATAAAAGTTTCGAAAAACAAAAACGAGTTCAAGTAGAAAAAAAAAGATCAAAATTTTTAAATGTTTATGGTATTTTTATCTACGATTATTAAAATACATATTGGCAATTTTTATAACATAAAGTTTAATTTTTTCGAAAAGTGTAAAGTGGAAACAAATTCAGTCCTAATATTTTTTGTAAATTTACTTCAAAACATGGTTAGGAATTTCGTAAGCAATGTGTTTAAAAGTTCAATATTTTGAAGTTTGCAAAAAATATTTAATACGCAAAAACTATTTAATTTATAAATCAGAGAGGAATTTTTTTTTATAATTTACTATTTGTTATTAACATTTCTCAAAATTTTTGATATCAGCAAATTTTAAGTTTTTCTTTGTAATCCCACACTTTACGTCTAGTAGAATACAAAAAAGGGAAACCAGATAAAAAAATTGTGACAGTCACAAATGTAACGCGTCTAGTAAAGCAAGACTTGATAATATAATTTAAAATTTGTTTGTCTCAGAAAAAGTAAAAAGATACAAAGCTTAATTACTTCATCTATATGTGCCTGAATCCGTGTTGTATATTGGTCGGCACTTCTTTCTAAAATACTAAGTTTATAGATTTGTAGTTATGAAATTTCCGTCTTTTTTTAATACAATTTTTTTTGAGGTCTACTATTACCGAAATTTTTTTTTATTAGAATGCAGTATTAAACGGAAAACAATACAATAAATATTTGTTTATTTTTACGACAATACAAAGAATGATATTTAATAGAAATTGTATTTTTAAAATACAAAATTTAGGTTTTTAAAAATAGATAAAAATTTTAAAATCGACTAGAAGCTTTTATTTCCGATTTCAGAATGTATTTCTGTTACCGAAAATAAATAAGTAATTGAAAAGTTCTTCATACAATATTGCAAAACAGAGGAATGACGTAATCAAAAGAACGAATTAAAGGCAAAAAAAAATTAAAATAATTTCAGGAAAAATAAAAATTAAGAAAAAAAAAAAACTGAAACAAAAAGAAATTTTGTCATTTTTAATAATGTCTTATATAATATATAACTAATATAATCCTATAACTAATGTTAATGGCTTTACATCTAACAAGTCCCAATACTCAATTTTTTTTACGAAATATTACGAATTTTTAGCCTCGTTCCTGTTTTTTTCTTTGAATGCCACTGATCGTGTCATATTTCTTATCATTTTTTTCTTTTTTTTACGTAAAAAAGAGTTTAATTAATGTCTAATTAAATCTAATGTCCCAATTAATGTCTAATTAAATCTAACAAGTCCCAATTAATGTCTTTATATCTAACAAGTCCCAATGCTCAGAGAGAAACTTGAAAGCACGACCTTATTTTATATGGGTATTTTTTAAATCGAAGTGGCTATTTTTTGAGAAGAAATACTAAAATAAATTCACACTTATTATAAAGCACGTAAAATTCTAAAAATATATTTGAAAAATCAAGAAAATATATTAATGTTTTCATTCATAATTATTTTAAAATTCTTGAAACAGCGGAAAAACAACAAGCACAACCTTCGCCTTCAACGTTTTATATGTTACTGAAAGCATTTAATTATTTTTAAGTGAACAGCTTTTTTGTCTCATAGGGTAAGTTAACTCAAGATATGGGAAATAACTGTGGTGTCAAGTTGAAAATATAATTAATGAAAGATAATTCTTAAATGTTGATATAAATACATAGTAAAGAAAAAATTTGAAGAGGGAATTAGAAAATAATATCTAAAATACAATCAAATAATATTTTTTAAGTGCAAATTTTATATACACTTCTAAATTTTACCTCTATTTGTGAGAAAAATTTTTAAAACTTAATATATTACCTAAGTAAAAAAAACATTTAAAAGGTTTTGGAAAAGACAATAATATATTTTTATGACCGGATTCGAATATCTTTTTTATTTTTGAAATAAATATTGTCTTAGCAAATGACTCAAAAACTCCGATTGTAAAATAACAGGTAGTTGGTACTGATATAAATTTTTGTCCGTTTGCGTTTAATATTAAGACTCATACACAGGCAGGGCCATTTCATAAATAGATTATTCTTGTTTACCTGCTAATAAAACATGAAAAAAGGACGCAACAAAATTTTTGAAGCACTCAAAGAACATGTTTCAAATAGTTTTAAAATAATTATTTAAAAAAAAAAATGATTGGAAGTAGGTACATACATATTTATTTTTAATAACTTAAAAACTAACTGAAATTATTTGAAACAATTTTATAAGTAGCGTATAAATAACCAAAATGAGAAAATTCAAATTGTTGTCAACCTATATTACTCTTACTAACATTTTTGTTAGCCGACACTACTTAACTTACCTTATTGGGAAATACAAAATGTGCATGAAAAATCATACATCCTTCCTCATTAACACTCGAAACCATACTGAAATATGAATTTGAAATTTTTTATCATTTTTTCTTTCCTCCTACCTTTCTTTCTTTTTCGTGCAATAGAATTTAAATGGGAAGCTTTTTAAAAAATGTGTATAATATCCTGAGATTTTTTTAAATATTAAACTTTTACGTTAAAAAAACAAAAAAAATTATAAGAAATATGACACGATGCATTTAAAGAAAAAAAAAGGAACGAAGCCAAAAATTCGTAATATTTCGAAAAAAAAATTGAGTATTGGGACTTGTTAGATGTAAAGACATTATCCCAAATCACACATCCTTCCTCATTAACATTTGGAACCCAAAGTATATCTATTAATAAGTAATTCGACTCTCCGTTTACATCACACTAATGCAATCACTCACCAATATTTGTATACAAAAAATTCCCTTAGCTTTTAGTTAAGTAGTATACTAATGTCTTTATATTTAACAAGTCCCAATGCTCAGAGAGAAACTTGAAAGCACACCTTATTTTATATGGCCTTTTTTAAATCGAAGTGGCTATTTTTTGAGAAGAAATATTAAAATAAATTCACACTTATTATAAAGCAGGTAAAATTTAGAACATATATTTGAAAAATCAAAAAAATATATTAATATTTTCATTGATAATTATTTTAAAATTTAAAAAAAAGCGGAAAAACAACAAACACAACCTTCACCTTCAACGTTTTATTTGTTACTGAAAGCATTTCATTATTTTTAAGTGAACAGCTTTTTTTTCTCATAGTGTAAGTTAACGCAAGATATGGGAAGTACCTGTGGTGTCAAATTGAAAATATAATTAATGAAAGATAATTCTTAAATATTGATATAAATACATAGTAAAGAAAAAATTTGAAGAGGGAATTAGAAAATAATATCTAAAATACAATCAAATATTATTTGTTAAATACAAATTTTATATTAACTTCAAAATTTTACCTCTATTTTTATTTGAAAAAATATTAAAAACTTACTATCATTTATATCAATTACCTAAGAAAAAAAAATATTTAAAATGTTTGGAAAAAACAATCATATATTTTTATGACCGGATTTGAATATTTTTCTATTTTTGAAATAAATGGTATTTTACCAAATGACTCGAAAATTCCGACTGTAAAATAACAAGTATTTTAAAATTTTTGTTCAGGTATTTTAAAATTCTTTCCGTTTAGAATTAAGATAGGTCATACATACACATGCAGGGACATTTTATAAATAGATTGCTCTTGTTTACCTGCTAATAAAATATGAAAAAAGAGCACAGCAAAATTTTTGAAGCACTCAATATAACAAGTTTGAAATAGTTTTAAAATAATTATTTAAAAAAAAATTTATTAAAAAATTAAGTATACACATAAGTTTTTCTACACATAAGAATTTTTGGGAGAGGGAAAAAGTACGTAATAGATGTCTACCTATTTTTTTATAATATATTTTTAAAAGCGGGAGTTATTTATTTTTTCGTATATAAAGTATAGGAAAAAATATTAAGAATTTTAAAAATGGGAGTTTTATTTCTGTAACTTATTCCAGTACAAGGTGGCAGAAATTATGTATCCATATTATAAAAGCGACAACAAAATTTACATATTATATGTACATAATTTAAAAAAGACAAATAATATTAATAAAAAACTTAAAATTTGTAATTAGTAATTGTCATTACATTAATATAAACTATGAATTTTTTATTTTTATTAAAATTTTGTTTTAAAAATTTAAAACAAATATTTATTTTGAATATACATACATACACGCGTATCGGTAATAGCCATTTATTTTATAAATTGCTTAATTTTTATGCCTCGTCTACATCGCGGCTTGACGTGAACTCGGCTCGAAACTCAAGTTGCATTTTTACTATGTTTAGTTAAAAGCTCAAAAACGACGTTTAGCTGTTAAATTTCGAATCATTATTAACATTTCAAGTCAAGTAAGCGACTTAAGTGGAGCCGGCTTAAGGTCAAGTAACGCTTATATAGACAATAATAAGCTTGAAGCAGCCGTATAAACGGGGGGTACATACATAATACTACATCATAATGTGTGTCAACTTTGAATAGGTATGTACTGTATAACAAAAATAGGAAATTTTGAATTTATAACTATTACTTTCATACATTCGAATGTTTTTACCTAACTTTTGTGAAATGAAAAATAAATTTTGTTGTTATCAAAATAAAAATAACCAAATTTTTACCTAACTTACCCAGCATTTACACGTACAAGTTACTTGCAAGAAAGTTGCAATACATACAAAAATTTTACTAACACATTGAAATATTTCTACTTGCTTGTTTACTTGCAGTTCAACTTGCAAGAAAATTTTGCTGCCAGTAATTTGAGCAAGTAATTTG